CGAATATAATTATTTATTCGAAAATTATAACATGTTAGAAAATCACTACAAATATTTATGTTATAATTTTCGAATAAATAATTATATATATATATGTGTGTGTGTGTGTGTGTGTGTGTGTGAATACGGTATATTTGGGCAATAATATGAATATATAACATCGCATTTTGAGTGCTGCTGTTAATAAAATAGTGCTCAATAGAACTATAATTTATATATTAATAATAAATATGCATTTTTCCTCACCGATAACACGGCTCTGGGTTTCATGCATAACGCAATCTTTAGGTGCTGATTGAAAACTGACCATAATATTAGCGTAACGTAACGGTCATTTTTCAGTTGTGCCACAGGTGAGAACAAAAATTTATGTTTACTATTAAAAAATATATATATGCTTCTACGTGCCACCGTGGTTCTTGTCGCATGCAGTAAAGCAGGCGTTGCTGTCTACGCACGGAAACAAATAACAATTGATTCTCAACCTCGCAAGCAATATGGCCCAAAAGTTTGTAAATCACCTGCAGGCCCTGGGAGACACATGCGTGTCCATAACAGTTGAACACCTCTTTAGTTTACTAAACCTTCATTTACTGTCCGCAACGAGAGAATTCACCAGAGTGTATTGCTTTTTGTTTGTTACTTTTCTCATTACTGTTTAATTAACTTTTTTTTCTAATTTAAACTTCTATTTGGACTTGAATTCATACCAAGTTTCTTACAGTGAGAAAGTGACATTTTGATCCTAGGCAGAGTGAGCACATACTACACTGATCTTAGAACATGCCTGAGAAGTGACATTTTGATTTGAGGAAAAGTCAGTACACTGATCTTAGTTCAGGACTGAGAAGTGACATTTTGATCCTAGGCAGAGTGAGCACATACTACACTGAGTTTAGAACATGCCTGAGAAGTGACATTTTGATTTGAGGAAAAGTCAGTACACTGATCTTAGTTCAGGACTGAAGTGACATTTTTGATCCTAGGCAGAGTGAGCACATACTACACTGATCTTAGTTCAGGACTGAGAAGTGACATTTTTGATCCTAGGCAGAGTGAGCACATACTACACTGATCTTAGTTCAGGACTGAGAAGTGACATTTTGATTTGAGGAAAAGTCAGTACACTGATCTTGGTTCAGGACTGAGAAGTGACATTTTGATCCTAGGCAGAGTGAACACATACTACACTGATCTTAGTTCAGGACTGAGAAGTGACATTTTGATCCTAGGCAGAGTGAGCACATACTACACTGATCTTAGAACATGCCTGAGAAGTGACATTTTTTTGATCTGAGGAAAAAGTCAGTACACTGATCTTAGTTCAGGACTGAGAAGTGACATTTTGATCCTAGGCAGAGTGAGCACATACTACACTGATCTTAGAACATGCCTGAGAAGTGACATTTTGATCTGAGGAAAAGTCAGTACACTGATCTTAGTTCAGGACTGAGAAGTGACATTTTGATCCTAGGCAGAGTGAGCACATACTACACTGATCTTAGTTCAGGACTGAGAAGTGACATTTTGATCCTAGGCAGAGTGAGCACATACTACACTGATCTTAGTTCAGGACTGAGAAGTGACATTTTGATCCTAGGAAGAGTGAGCACATACTACACTGATCTTAGTTCAGGACTGAGATGTGACATTTTGATTTGAGGAAAAGTCAGTACACTGATCTTAGTTCAGGACTGAGAAGTGACATTTTGATCCTAGGCAGAGTGAGCACATACTACACTGATCTTAGAACATGCCTGAGAGGTGACATTTTGATTTGAGGAAAAGTCAGTACACTGATCTTAGTTCAGGACTGAGAAGTGACATTTTGATCCTAGGCAGAGTGAGCACATACTACACTGATCTTAGAACATGCCTGAGAAGTGACATTTTGATTTGAGGAAAAGTCAGTACACTGATCTTAGTTCAGGCCTGAGAAGTGACATTTTGATCCTAGGCAGAGTGAGCACATACTACACTGATCTTAGTTCAGGACTGAGAAGTGACATTTTGATCCTAGGCAGAGTGAGCACATACTACACTGATCTTAGTTCAGGACTGAGAAGTGACATTTTGATTTGAGGAAAAGTCAGTACACTGATCTTAGTTCAGGACTGAGAAGTGACATTTTGATCCTAGGCAGAGTGAACACATACTAAACTGATCTTAGTTCAGGACTGAGAAGTGACATTTTGATCCTAGGCAGAGTGAGCACATACTACACTGATCTTAGAACATGCCTGAGAAGTGACATTTTGATCTGAGGAAAAGTCAGTACACTGATCTTAGTTCAGGACTGAGAAGTGACATTTTGATCCTAGGCAGAGTGAGCACATACTACACTGATCTTAGAACATGCCTGAGAAGTGACATTTGATCTGAGGAAAAGTCAGTACACTGATCTTAGTTCAGGACTGAGAAGTGACATTTTGATCCTAGGCAGAGTGAGCACATACTACACTGATCTTAGATCATGCGTGAGAAGTGACATTTTGATTTGAGGAAAAGTCAGTACACTGATCTTAGTTCAGGACTGAGAAGTGACATTTTGATCCTAGGCAGAGTGAGCACATACTACACTGATCTTAGTTCAGGACTGAGAAGTGACATTTTGATCCTAGGCAGAGTGAGCACATACTACACTGATCTTAGTTCAGGACTGAGAAGTGACATTTTGATCCTAGGAAGAGTGAGCACATACTACACTGATCTTAGTTCAGGACTGAGAAGTGACATTTTGATTTGAGGAAAAGTCAGTACACTGATCTTAGTTCAGGACTGAGAAGTGACATTTTGATCCTAGGCAGAGTGAGCACATACTACACTGATCTTAGAACATGCCTGAGAAGTGACATTTTGATTTGAGGAAAGTCAGTACACTGATCTTAGTTCAGGACTGAAAGTGACATTTTGATCCTAGGCAGAGTGAACACATACTACACTGATCTTAGTTCAGGACTGAGAAGTGACATTTTGATCCTAGGCAGAGTGAGCACATACTACACTGATCTTAGAACATGCCTGAGAAGTGACATTTTGATCTGAGGAAAAGTCCGTCCACTGATCTTAGTTCAGGACTGAGAAGTGACATTTTGATCCTAGGCAGAGTGAGCACATACTACACTGATCTTAGAACATGCCTGAGAAGTGACATTTTGATTTGAGGAAAAGTCAGTACACTGATCTTAGTTCAGGACTGAGAAGTGACATTTTGATCCTAGGCTGAGTGAGCACATACTACACTGATCTTAGAACATGCCTGAGTAGTGACATTTTCATTTGAGGAAAAGTCAGTACACTGATCTTAGTTCAGGACTGAGAAGTGACATTTTGATCCTAGGCAGAGTGAGCACATACTACACTGATCTTAGTTCAGGACTGAGACGTGACATTTTGATCCTAGGCAGAGTGAGCACATACTACACTGATCTTAGTTCAGGACTGAGAAGTGACATTTTGATCCTAGGCTGTGTGAACAGATACTACACTGGTCTTAGTTCAGGACTGAGAAGTGACATTTTGATTTGAGGCAAAGTGAATACATCGATGTTGATGCCATGTCTTTCTAATTATTTAATTAACTTTTTTTTCTACTTTATTTGGACCTGAGTTCCTACCAACACTCAGAGTCGACAGGCTCTTTCATGATGGACGCAATCGTCAGGCGACCTGACGATTGCATCCAGCATGAAACAGCCTGTCGCCTCTGACTGTTGACTTCAATGTTCACTTTTATATTTAAATACCCTGATATTGAACACTTCACCACATAAATATAGCAAACCTTAAAACTATATATATATATATATAAAGAAAAGACATTTGTATGATGTGTATTTGGGCAGCAACCTTTCTTTCAAACACATGTAGTTGTATATGACAAAGGAAATTACTCTATTAGAATTTATTTTTCATTCCCTTTTATTTTTCGCTTTTTAAAATTTATTTCTCGTCCCCTTTTCAAAGAGAATCATCATCGTATTGTGTAGGCGATCTTTTTTTTTAACTAACAGCCGACAAAGCCTTAAATAACAAACGACACTTTTTTTGACAGATGCATCACCGAAATTTCACAGAGGATCATTTTTTAAAACAGAATCATAATAATATTTTGTAAATAATCAGTATTTTAAATAACAATCGCCATTTTTTTTAAACACTCGTCATTGTAATTTGCAGGTTTTAATAATAATCAGCGTTTTATTTTTTTTAACAAAGATCATCGTAATTTAGTAACTATCAATATAACTATTTTATATATAAGAAACTGTTTTATTTCTAACAAAATCATGATCATAATTTGCGACGATCAGGTCATGAAATAAGAATCATCATCGTAATTTGCAAGCAATAAGCTTTTGAAATAAAAAGATATTCCATCCGCTTAATGACCTCAGCGGGAAAGACATTACGTCCTTGAAGAAATTATCATTTTTTTTTTGTTTCTAAAAATATGTAATTTACAATTTACCTCCTAAGCTTAGGTCTATTTTTATAATCTTTAAATTCATGACGTTCACGGAATTTGAAATGGAGATAAAAGAGAAATTGATCGTTTTAAAATGAACATCACTTCTTCCCATATTTTTTTTTTTTAGCGATTACGTAGATAATAGGATCATGGTTTTCAGTTATCGTGTTTATCACACTCGATAATTGATGCAGTTATGTATTGTGGGCGGTATAAAAAGAAATGCATGCTCATACTAACCTGATGACTTTAAATTGATATATATATATATATATATATAATTATGCTTGCACACACACACACACACACACACACACACACATATATATATATATATATATATATATATATATATATATATATATATATATATATATATAGTTATATAGAATATATATAGGTGTACAAATTTCCCCTTAAAATAATACAATAAAATGATTCAAGACGTTGGTAGAAATTACGAGAAGTGAAAAATTACAAAAACAAAAAAAGGCCTGATCGTGATTGAAAGTTAATAAGTTGTAAGAATTCACTTAAAAAAACTGTGCGAATGATAAAAGGAAAAAGATGAAAGAAATGTTAAGAAAGAAGGATAGGAAAATAAAAAGAAAAAGATAATGATAAATATGGATAGAATTAGATGGAAAGAAAGAAAGAAAGAAAGAAAGAAAGAAAGAAAATTTAGAAAGAAAGGAAGAAAGAAAGAAAGAAGGAATAGATGATTATTAAAGAAACTGGAAAGAAAATAAAGAAAAGAAAAGGACAAATAATACGTGATTTTTAAAAAGAGAACACCCAGAAAAAGAAAGAAAAAAAAGAAAATAGTGAAAAAATTATAATGAATATGAGATTATTAAATAAGGTGAGAGAAAAACAAAAAATAAATAAATAAAAAAGAAAAGATAATGGATAATTAAAAAGAAAAACAAAAATTACAAAATAAAGAAAGAAGGAAAGAAAGAAAGAAAGAATGAATGAAAGAAAAAAGAAAAAAAGAAAGAAAAAAGGAAGAAAGAAAGAAAGAGGGAAGAGAAAAAAGACAGAAAGAAAGACAGACAGACAGACAGAAAGAAAGAAAGAAAGAAAGATAGAAAGAATGAAAGAAAGAAAGCTAAGAATATGCGACAAATAAAATGCAGAAACTCCACTTGATTATTAAAAAGAAAACAAACAAAAAAAGAAAGAAAGAAAGAAAGAAGTAAGAAAAAAGAAAGAAGGAAAAAGATACATAGAAAGAAAGAAAGAAAGAAAGAAAGAAAGAAAGAAAGAAAGAAAGAAATAAAAAGAAAGAAGTAAGAAAAAAGAAGGAAAAAGATAGATAGAAAGAAAGAAGAATGAAGGGAGAAAGAAAGAAAGAAAGAAAGAAAGAAAGAAAGAAAGAAAGAAAGAAAGAAAGAAAGAAAAACTCAAGAGGTTACAGAGGGTGGGAGAATTCGGAACAGAAACAGCAGAGAGAGAAAATAGTAATCAGGACAGTAAATAGCGACTGACATTTCATTTAAATTTCAGAAGGTCAAAATTGAACGGACGGCATGGAGTCGGAAGCGAGAAGTTCGAGAAAAGAAACTGTTAACATAGGACTTACGGCTACATCTAGCTCGCTGAACTTTAAATTTATGAGATCTCGACACCAGTGGAGTACTGCGCTTAAATTCATAGAGTCTATGTACCATAGCGAAGAACTTATCCGAACAATTACCATGAAAGTGTTTATAAAAAAAAGGCAGAGAGAGGCAACCTTACGTCGGTGGGAAAGTGACTGAATCCGAGCCGCCAGATCAGGACTCATAATATTGCTGATTCTTGGAGTTTATCAAGGAGCTCAAAGTAAAGAAACATGACAAGAATAGAGAGTTTGGAGAATTTGATACTCATAGGGTATATTGAAAGCGGGGTGTGAGAAAAGACAAGCAGCGATTAACCCAGTTAATGAGTTTGTGTGAATGTATGGCAGAATAGTGACTGTCAGGAAGAGAATAAAAAAAAAACTAACCTTACTAAAGACCTACAATGGAGAGAATGTTCTGGATAGCCATGATCACCCATGTCCCAAATAAAGAAGAAGAAGAAGAAGAAGAAGAAGAAGAAGAAGAAGAAGAATTAAAAGAAGTAAAATTTGAAGAAGAAAAATAAAAATTTGCAGAAGAAGAATAAAGGAGAATTTGAAGAAGAAGAAGAAGAAGAATTTAAAGAAGTAGAATTTAAAGAAGAAGAATTTAAAGAAGAATGAAAAGGAGAAGGAGAAGAAGAAGAAGAATTTGAAGAAGAAGGAGAATTGAAAGAAGGAGAATTTGAAGAAGAAGGAGAATTTAAAGAAGAAAAAGAAGGATTTGAGGAAGAAGAAGGAGAATTGAAAGAAGTAGAATTTGAAGAATTTGAAGAAGAAGAAGAAGAAGAAGAAGAAGGAGAATTTGAAGAAGAAGGAGAAGAAGAAGGAGAATTTGAAGAAGTAGAAGAATTTGAAGAAGAAGATAAATTTAAAGAAGTAGAATTTGAAGAAGAAGAAGAAGAATTTAAAGAAGAAGGAGAATTTGAAGAAGTAGAAGAAGCAGCAGCATTCTGAGAACTTCTTTCAGTGAATTAAAAAGAAATAAACACTAAAGACCTACAATGGAGAGAATGTTCTGGATAGCCATGATCACCCATGTCCCAAATAAAGAAGAATTTGAAGAAGAAGAAGAAGAAGAAGAAGAAGAACTTGAAGAAGAAGAATTTGAAGAAGAAAAAGAAAATTTGCAGAAGAAGAAGGAGAATTTGAAGAAGAAGAAGAAGAAGAAGAAGAAGAAGAAGAATTTAAAGAAGAATTATTTGAAGAAGAAGAAGAAGTAGAATTTGAAGAAGAAGAATTTGAAGAAGAAGAATTTGAAGAAGAAGAAGAATTTGAAGAAGAAGAAGAAGAAGAAGGAGAAGGAGAAGAAGAAGAAGAAGAATTTAAAGAAGTAGAATTTGGAGAAGAAGAATTTGAAGAAGAAGAATTTGAAGAAGAAGGAGAATTTAAAGAAGAAGAATTTGAGGAAGAAGAAGGAGAATTGAAAGAAGTAGAATTTGAAGAAGAATTTGAAGAAGAAGAAGAAGGAGAATTTGAAGAATTTGAAGAAGAATTTGAAGAATTTGAAGAAGAAGAAGAAGAAGAAGAAGAAGAAGAAGAAGAAGAAGAAGAAGAAGAAGGAGAATTTGAAGAAGAAGAATTTAAAGAAGGAGGAGAATTTGAAGAAGTAGAAGAAGCAGTAGAATCCTGAGAACTTCTTTCCAGTGAATGTTATATACTGTTTCATCTTCGAATATTTGTTTCATGTCATTAGCTGTGTTATGGTTGTTTGTAATTATAATAATCCCCCCCCCCCAAAAAAATGATCATGTCACTAGGATGAAAGGGGGTTACCGGGAGTGAAAGAGAATGAGAAGATTTTAGTAATGTGAAAGGAAAATAAAAGAACAAGTTTCAGGAGAACAGTAGATGGTGATTGACGGTGCAATTTAATTTTTGAAGATTGTAGTTGGCAGGGAAGCAAGAAATCGTAAGGGTGTTCTATAGGCGAAAAAAGAAACTATTAGAATGGCAGTTACATCTAGCTATTCCAACAATAAAACAGTGATACCTAATTGCCAATCTAGTAGTAATTTTAAATACCTTCAGTCGAGGTACTGAATTGGAAAACGCACCAGAACAAATGACATGAGAATATTTGTAGAAAAGACAGAAGGAAGCCACGTCACATCAAAAGAAAATGACAGCAATATTCAATGCACAGATTCTGACGGGAAAATTATCTGAGACGACACAGTTAACCAATTTCCCTAGCAGTAAACTTAACACTTGATTCAATATAATCACCCTATTTCATGTCAGGGGAAAACGTAAGCCCAAGAAGTGTCAAATGGTTGCTCTCTTAGAGTTTATCATCAGCCATAGTGATGACAGACAGAAAAAGATTTTTTATTATGATTAATTGAAGGCAGTTTATTTTGGAGGCGCTAAAATTTACAAGCCATCACTTATCCCAGTTAGTCACTGGTTATAGATACTTTTCGAGATCAGTTGTCAGATAGTTTGTGGTGGGATGATCGATATGTACATGAAATGCACTGCTTCGATGATTGACAAGTTAACCTACGAGAAAGGGTGGTTTTGTGTGACCAATAAATAGCTTAAATGTATCACATACTATAAAAATTTAGAACATCTAATCAGTACCAAATTTCCGTCTTGGGTATGACGATAAACTACATCCGCGTCCTGGGTAAGACGGTAAACTACGTCAAACAGCAAGGCGTCTGATCAGGAGGTTTTGAGGAGCGTGGAACCACCTCTTAATTGCTGGTGTTCCCAGGTCCACCCTCACCCGGGGTGGTAGCACCTGTTAGGGTACCAGCTATGGGCAAATAGTTAACCCCGAAACTGAGGTTAAAATGCATTATGAAAGTGTAAAACTAGGTTTTAATACCAGAAATGCTTTGTAAAAAAATTATTTCTAGGAATAATTTTTTGAAGAAAAAATATTACCAGCAATACGTTTTTGAAGAAGAAAAAAATATTACCAGCAATACAATTTTTAAAATTATATTACCAGCTATACATTTTTTAGGAAAAAATATTACCAGAAATAGATTTTTGACAAAACAAAAATATTACCAAGAAAAAAATGTTGCTGACATTAAGTGACCCATTGAGGTTGATATACCGTAAATAAAATCAAACCAAATCAAAACAGTACCAAATTTGTACTTTAAACATATTTAGAACGTACTCCGTAACTGAAGTAAGTAATAATTTATAAGCAATTTAGAGCTAATTAAAAATGTCCCACGAACATTTATACATGTGTGAAGATGAAAGCCATTCACAAGGGTTTGGCGCCGAAGTGACTGATAGTAAAATGGTGTGATAGTCGATCTAGTTGAGGTTGTAAAAAATGCTTAATATGAAGAGTTCTAATCAATTCCATTTGTGTGAAATCATTTAGGTAGGGGGGGAATCTAAAATACTTACAAAGCATAAGTAAAACTTGGTGTTTATGTAACGCGTGGCCTTACAGATGGGATTTATTAATTGTGTCCGCTAAAACTTTCATTCATTCTAATGATTGCTCACACAGCAAATATTAAAAGCACGTACAGAAATCCATTTCAAATTATTTTACTAAGAAAATATCTCGTCAAAGAATTTACTAAGAAAATGCACTGCAAATTATTTAATCATGGTAATGTATTGCAAACTATTTACTATATAAATACATTGTAAGTTTGTCTATATTTCTGAGATGAGGTATTATGTACAGTATTTACATTAGTCGGACTATTGTTCTCATCTTTGTCGCCATATTTGTCACAACGTTTCGGCCGTTGTACGCTCCGGCCTTCTTCAGGTGGATGGAATGTCGAACTGAACCCTTTATTTCGCTCACTGGGGTAAACTGTTCTAGTTCCACGTGACATGTTTAATGGATGTTATTTATCAGTTATATCCTCTTCATTTCCCTCTGAAAGATCCACCTGAAGAAGGGCGGAGCGTACAACGGCCGAAACGTTGTGACAAATATGGCGACAAAGATGAGGACAATAGTCCGACTAATGTAAATACTGTACATTGTAAGTTATTTTACAATAAGAATTTATTGCAAATTATTTTACTATGAAAATACATTGAGAATTATTTTATCATGTAAGTGTGTTGTAAATTATTTTACTAGGAAAAAGCACTGTAAATTAATTTATTATGAAAAAGTATTGTGATATATCTTACTACGAAAATGTATTGCGAATTGTTTTGCTATAAAAATTAAGTTCAATTTATTCAACTATAAAATACATTGCAGATTATCTTAAGTTACTGATAATGTTATAGACTAGATACCTAATTATATAAATGGATCAAAATTTATATTCACACACACACACACACACACACACACACACACACACACACACACACACACACACACACACACACAAACAAGAACACACACATATATATATATTATAAATTAACAGATTTAAAATATGTTTTTCGCTGCACAGTAATAACCATGTTTAAAAAATGAAAATTTAATTTTGTAATTAAAAGCATTAGTTCCATTTCATCTTCAAACGAATTCCAATAGGAACACCGGATTATATATCTTACTGTTCTTTCTTTCTTTCTTTCTTTCTTTCTTTATATATATATATATATATATATATATATATATATTATGCACTGTTACATTAGAACATGTAAATACCCACAACAAAATAGTACATTTTGTTTAAACGTTAAAATCAATCGTTTCTTCAGGTGGCTAACAATGATGGTACTAAATGATTTTATTCAAAATTGCGATTAATGAAACACTACTTCACTTCTCCGTTTTTGGAAAATTTTCCATAAAAGGTAAAGAAGATTTATATTAAGAAAAAGGAAAGAAG